TCATGGAGATTTGTTTGAGAATATAGTGAGCATTTATAGTTTCTGTGTAACTAAATTCTCTCTATATATATGGGCAAATATATGCCTAGACTAAGACACAACCCCCACTAAGCGAGCATAAGATTTTACCAGTAGAAGAGCACTTTTCAAATAAAACATATACGTCTAAAACATCGCTTTAAATAAATCTTATTGTCTTTTAAAGTAATTATTCTACGAATATATGTATTAAAATTTAATACTATATGTATTGATAATTTATTTTTACTCCTTCACTTCATAAGTAATATAGGGGTTGGCTCCCTAAAGACACTGATTGTATAATGTACAAAGCATTGAGTATCTACATGTTACATTCATCTAATATTCATCTATTATTGGCTGGTAATTCCTGTTTCACCCTATACTTAAGTTTTTTAAAAGATACACCAGACATTTGTAAGAAAGCTAACTTGAAGGAGTAATGATAACATCGTTTACACTAAATTATGATGTTTTTAGCTTATGTAAAATATAGAGGAAACAAGTCGACTTTTCATTACCACTACGACCGTAGCAGTACCTTATTTAGTATTCTACAAAAGGTTAGGGTGCAATATACCAAGTTGCTTTTGTTGTAGGCTGGCAAGAGAATAATAATAAGAAGAAGAATTACAAATGGGCCGTTTTGAGCGGATTGTCTTTTCCTTTTAAGTGTAACATAGTGCTTTTTTGTGAATTTTTATATGTGTACAGTCTTAGCACTAAATAGTAAGGGTTTTAAAGGTTATTTGAACTGAATATTTGCTGTTTAAGGTGCTTTGTGCCCGAACGTTCTAGTTGGGTTTTATGCAATATCTTGTGATCCCTATTATGAACCATTATTGTGGTTCAAGACATCGTTATAGACAAGAATGAGATTTGAACAAGGAATAATCGCATTGATATCATTAAAACTTCATATACAGATCACTAATGAAAACATAATAACGCTTTCGCAGTTGGTGACTTTTATAATAAGTTTGATCAAATTTGTTGCTGATCTTTACGTAGCGAGATGAAGTTGTTCTTGGTAGTCTGTCTGTTTGTTTGTTTTGAATTTCGCGCAAAGCTACACGAGGGCTATCTCCTTCCTATTAGACGACCATCTTCTAGGCTAAAGGAAGGTCGTAATCCTATGCTTTCTCATAAGTTCTTCGGAAGGACTGGTATGAAATAATGTTGTTGTTTATTTTATGAAAAATAACCTTTTGTGTTTGGTTTGAATTTCGCGCAAAGCTACACGAGGGATATCTGCGCTAGCCGTCCCTTATTTAGTAGTGAAAGACTAGAAAGAAGACATCTAGTCATCATCATTCATCGCCAACTCTTTTATCAACGAATAGCGGGATTGACCGTCACTTTATGACGCTACTACGGCTGAAAGGGCTAGCATGTTTGGTGGTTACGTGGATTCGAACCCGTGACCCTTAGATTGCGAGTCGAACGCCCTAACCACTTGGTCATGCTAGGCCTAACCACCTGGCCATTCCAGGCCTGTTCTTAGTATGACCAGAATGTGTGTACTTTTGAACGAATTTGAAGAAATTTTGTCTTATGAATGACATTAGGTTGAAATATGATTTTTCAGAGTGTGTTCGATGTTGTTGACTTAAGATGATAAGTCAGAAGAAGAAGTCTGTAGGACTGTTCAATGTGTTTTTGTGTGTGTGATTAGTTCTAATTCTGCCAACTAAACTTCAAAGTCTTTGCAGCTTCTTTGTATCACGAATTTCTGTCCGTTTTATTTTTGTAATTGTTATTATGAGTACAGTGCATTTTATACAAAGAGCCTGATTGGAGACTGAAGTACGTTTAATGTTATTTTTTATAGATAAATCTCTATATAGAAGACGGCCATTCAAAACAAACTTTGACTTCATTTTCGGAAATGGCTTAAGGCGTGTGAGAAAAAGTTTTATAGGTATTCATCCAAATGAAATAAAAATCATTAATGTTTCGTTGCCATCTTTTCAATATCGTGTATAAAGAGATTTACCAAGATAAAAACGACCTTGGCAACCGATGAAGATATATTTAATTCATAGCGTTCGATAATATTTGATTGGATAGCACAATATATTTCCAGTCGTCAACTTCATACGAGCCCTAAAAAACGATTTTAAAAGATCTCTGTCACAATTAAATCACAGAACTCTTCTTGGTACGATTAATATTTAATGCGTCGAATGCAACTAAAATGCTTAGAAATGCGTTAGATTACTCATTGGCAACAAAATAAAATATATGCGACACGCTTTAAGATGTTGAACAGCCGATTGATTATTGTTCAGATCTGATTTCGAAACACTGATTGAAAAAACTTTCTCTTTAATGTGTAAAATTCTAAAACCAGTAGCATTACATAAGATCTTGAAGTTTAAGCTGATAGGCACATAATCACAACATTTAGAATAACGAACGTAACTGTTCGAAGGGCGCAGAAAGGCAACAGATTGTCAATATCATCGACCTCAACGAGAACAGACAAACATTTAGCTTTACAAATCACGATGCAATTTCAAGGTTGGCCCAGTAATTCCTGATCTGCCTTTATGCTGTATATATATTCATAAAAGTTTTCAAAATTACAAAACACTTTATTTTATTATAAACGTTATTTTACAAACGGTAATGTTCCGGTGTTTTCGTGTACTAGTTTTGTTTCCTATTCTTCCTGAAATGGTCAGAAGAGGCGTCTAATTTGATACAAAAAATATTTAAAGCCAATGTGTTTTTAAATGTTTTCAACATTTCTGTACATTTGAGGTAATTAACTCGCAGTCGTCTATTTAATCACTGTTTACTAGAGATTAATTAAGGCTCAAAAAGAGAGAAAATTCAGATTTGTTTGGGAAACTACAAATGTTTGTCAATGACAATTAATTTCCGTAGCTAAAGTGTTTATACAAGTTACACGTCACACAGTTGTCCAATGTCAAAGCTAAATGTTCGCCGGAACTGGTTGAAACTTTTACTTCTCATTCAGATCAGAGCTCGCCAGACTGAGAGGCTCAGTAAAGACAGCTGTGCAAATTACATACCCTCATACATACGTGTAAAGGTATACCTAAACAATCCTGTAAAAAAAAAAACCACAGGATAATGTTCTGCAAAACAAATCGACGAAACATGGAACAATAAACATGCTGGGGAAGATTAAAACATGATATTTAAATGGTCAAATTTGTTTAAAAAATTAAATTATCTAACTTTTAGATATCATTTATTTTTTGAAGGAAAAATAATCTCCAGTGGGATCTTCGATCCATGGATAGTTTTGGGAACAATCCATACAAGTGTGTAGACGAATGGTTTCTCCTGGAAGTTCACGAGTTGTTAGTGGGCAAGCGTTGGGAATACTACAATAAGGCTGACCTTTGACCTCACACTTCTCCTTCCATGGAGGAAATTCTCGTATGCGGCTCAGCTCTGCAGGGTTTTGCATCCATTGAAGAACTTGTGTCATTGTGACAAAGTAAATGTCCGTTCTGTCCAGCATCTCGTCGATCCAGCTTATCAGAGCATCCAAAAATTCAGGATTCAGCTTAAGGAAGCCGGCATGGAAAAACAAGCCGAGAGGAGCACGGTTGGTGGTGTAATGTCTTTCCAGGTTGTGATTGAGAAAATTGTAGAATTGATCACCTGTAATCAAGTTGCTGCAGCTGTCCACCATGGCACAACCAGCCAGGTTTTCATCAAAACTTGGGTCCTCACGACGGTCCAGCTCATTCATGACCATCTCCCACACAGCATGAGAACGCGTGGGACAGTTCTGCCCATTACCGTGGCACTTGTGAGGCATACTAAAGTAAAGGGTGTAGGGCCAGAGGGGAGGATTGGACAGAGGGACAGTAACGGATGAGTCATATAAGAAGGATTGTTCTTCCAGCATACGGAATTGGGTATTACCGCCCAAGCGCAGGTATGGCGAACGGACACCAACAATTGAGTTGTCTGTGATGTTGGCAAACTTTTCAATAATCAACCTCATTCCCGCCATTTCCTTTGCCCAAGTTTCAAGATTGGCACTGCTCCAGTATGTCTCGTCATCTCGGTGACTATTTAGAGAAATACAAAATAAATAATAATTATAATATTCCTGAGATATATATATATATATATAACATTTGTGAAAAATGAATATTGCATTTTACTACAATAAAGTAAACTTTCTAACACAAGACCAGAGTTGCGAAGCAGAATAAAAAAAAGAGAAGTAAAAAGATGTGTTGAAGGGTGGATCAGCACAAAAAACACCATAAAACACATTGCATAATTTACGAGATTCAAATTGAACTTTACGACGATTTTTCGAATCTACTCTCGAAGCAACGTGTACGAAAACAAATACAACAAGTTTTATCAAACTATAGATTCATTTTAACAATCACAATTATGTTAAGCTTTTTTTTTATCAATCTATTTATCGCGTCTCTCAATTTCATACTCACGTGATGGAATGAGAAGCAATTTCGTGCCCCTTGCGATGAAGTTCCTGAACTGCAGAGTAATTGGTGTATTTATGGGAAACAAAGAAGGTACCCTTTATAGAACATCCATTAGGGTTATTCCGACCTTCTCTGAACAGTTCTTCATATATGTCAATGTTGTTGATATTGACAGCGTCATCGAAAGTAATCATGACCATCTGAGGAATTTCGTTCGGATCTTTTCCTCCAGGAATTAGAGTTCCATCGTGAGAACAGAAACAGTCTGGCAAGATACATTGTTTCTGGTCGCAAGGAGGCGCTCTGTTAGGATCCTTTTCTTTAGCTAAAAAAAAGAAAGATGTAATCTGTTATGAATAACAAAAGGGAATATCATTTTCCAAAAAAAAACATAACATGAAACTAAAAACAATTTTTATTAAAATACAAACCATAGCCTTGCTCTTATTGATAACTTATATTCTCAAGAGATATAGAAACTTCAATTTTCCAAACAAAAAGTTACTTTTAGTGTAGCACGCATACATTTAAAACTTGTTTTCCCAATACATACACATACGATGTTTATGCCTAAAAAACAGAACTTCGAATATTCACAACTAGACTAAATAAACAATTTTCCATCGTCGTGAAGTTTTTAAAAGTATTTCTACTAAATGGAAGGGTTAACCATATATTTAAACTAATTATTCTAGCCAAACAAACGAAGAATAACTTGATTAACGTGTTGGAAGAGGTACTTTGATTTCAAATTATGCTATAACTACAAATGAAAGAACCACTAAATGATATGCAAATAATATTCTATAGAAATACCAAACATAAGGGATTCAATCATTTCTCTAAGGGTTGGTTTGGCCATAAGGAATTCAATAATTTTTTAAGGTTGGTTTGGCCATAAGGAATTCAATCATTTTTTAAGGGTTGGTTTGGCCATAAGGAATTCAATCATTTCTTTAAGGGTTGGTTTGGCCATAAGGAATTCAATCATTTTTTTAAGGGTTGGTTTGGCCATAAGGAATTCAATCATTTTTAAAGGGTTGATTTGGCCATAAGGAGTGCGATCATTTCATTAAGGATTGGTTTTGCCATAAGGAATTCAATACTTTTTGTAAGAGTTGGTTTGGTCATAAGAAATTCAATCATTTCTTTAAGGGTTGGTTTGGCCATTTTATTGAACTTGGAGTAGTTATTTTTATGCACTTCAGGGTTTTTCCTTTCTTTCAGAAACGACTATTCAGATTCTTTGCTGAACCCTTCTTCAGAATGAGACTATATAACAAAGAAAAAATAACTCTTGGCGGGGGAAGTCCATAAAAAAGAGCTACCTCCAATTGATCATTTTATTTGACTCCTTAACAACTTTAATGTTCCAAACATTTCTAGAAGAAAAAAAATCTGTTTTTCAAAAATACGCATTCGTACATCACACATGCATCATTCGTACATCATAAATACATCATTCGTACATCATACATGCTATGTATATACATAAAACATCATTTTATTTAAGATCTTTTAAAAATACGCATTCGTACATCATACATGCTATGTATATACATAAAACATCATTTTATTTAAGATCTTTTAAAAATACGCATTCGTACATCATACATGCTATGTATATACATAAAACATCATTTTATTTAAGATCTTTTACTATTTATTTCTTTTTTAAGGGCGGAGGCTGGGAGTGACATATAGTAGAAATATTAGGGTGGTTTCATTTCATTTCTACTTTAGGAATTATAAGAACTTTTAAGGGTAACTGCCTTCCCACAACTGGCTACACAGACAGTGAATGGCAGTAGGAGTTGAGACGTTGTGGGTGTGAGCACTCAACTCCGTACTCTTAAGTACTTGTGAGCTATTACCAAAGATAATATCCGTTATGTCTTTACGGGGACAACTAGTATTAACAATGGATTTTGCAAAAAAAACAAAAAACTTCTTAATGTTTATTTTATATTAAGTTCATTGTTGTTTTATACTGCTGATTTTAATCGCCTATTAATACTTAATGTAAATAACAGTATTGAAGCTATTTACTTAATTATATATATATACATATACACACAGAATAACAATTAATTTAGGAAGTATTAAGTTCAAGTGTATGACTAGTGATCCCACGGATTTTTTAATTGTTTACTAATGTATATTTTTTTTAGTCTGAATTTCATCTCATTTCTTAATCTGCCACTGTTTTTACAGAAAAACTCAATTTAAACGAATGTTCACTGTTGATTGGAGTTTGAGTCGTACTTACTACAAGCGTTTTCGTCAGATCCATCAGTACACTGAGGTTCTCCGTCACAGAACAGCTTACGCTCGATACATTCACCGTTCCCACAAGCTAACTGGTTTTCACTGCAGATTGGTTCATCTGTGGAAAGAAGGGGCGTGGCCAGACGAGGTTTCTCCACCTGATCACAGTTCTTGACTTGGTCCTTCCACCCACAGGTTTGTTTTTCGATGTCAAATGCCAGTCCCGTGGGACATCTTAGTGCCAGCAGTCCTTGTACGGAACAACGAACCACGTCTCGACAGTCTTCCGCTGCTGTCAGGCGAAAGTACTCGCTGGGAGATCTACCCTTACATAGATCGGAATCATTCTGGGTGTCAGAATTCGTACTTTCCGCTTGTCTCTTTACAATTGACACACCCAGCACTACAGACACAGAAACATCCACTTAGTATACAAATCTATCAGAAAAATCTAAATCAATAATAACAACTTCTGAGAGTCAGGATAAATCAAATTTTTTTCTAGAATAATACATGCATAAATACACAAGTATATATATGAATTAAAAGTAGTACCACTGCGTAGGCTGAAGCCAATATTTCCACGCTATTTATCATACATAAAACATTTAATAAAGAAAAGAGCAAGTACGGGTAAATTCATGTTACCTCCTACGTAGCGCCCCCTAGTGCCACAGCGGTATGTCTACGGAATTACAACGCTAGAAACTGGGTTTCGATACCCGTGGTGGGCAGAGCACAGATAGCCCATTGTGCTTAACTTCAAACAATCCTACGTAGCAACGAGGAAATATTTGGTATATATCTATACACATATACCCAAATAAAGATTAGACCTTTATTTTTACATTTCATTAGATTTAAATGTAGAGTTTTAGAAGCGTAGAGTGCGTGTGTATATTTCTTGATTTTGTCTATCTGAATGCAATAATAATAATAATGATTTCCCGAAAGTTTACCATTCCGATGATCGAAGTAAAATAGCTTTTCGTTGTATCATCTTGCATATAATTTAAAATATTTACCGGAAGGTGAACAGTTATCGTGTTTGTTTGTTTTAGAGCAATACTACACAGTAGGCTATCTGTGATCTGTCCATCACGGGGAACCGAACCCCGGATTTCGGCGGTGTAAGTCCGCAAACTTATCACTGACCTACGAGGACCGGTAAAAAGTGACAAATAATGAAATGAAATGGAAGGAGAAAATTGACTTTAAAGTGAACCAACAAAATTAATTAATTTTATAAAACCAATTATTGCTGTCCACGTTTTAATATTTTTTTAATTATTTTTAAATACATAAATAGTTCTAAACAGAATAGAGAGTTCACAGATCTTTTTTTTTTGTTGGTCAGTACAAAGCTGCACAATGGACTATCTGTGCTGTGCCCACCACGAGCATCGAAACCTGATTTGTAATGGAACCCTCAGACTTACCGCTGAGCCACTGGGGGGTTACTTATCTACCAGTCCTTATTAACTTGTTTGGCCTAATTTTTGGAATATTAGTATTGTCATAAATAAGTCTATTTGGTGATCTTACACTGGTACGAGCACAAACACACATTTGTATATACGAAAAAGAAATTGGTTATCATATTGCTGACAAAAGATATTTTTTATCAGGATAGTTAACGTTTCGGGCTACCGTCCTTCCTCAGAATTGACAGAAGGCAATACACACCCACCTGTTCACCACACAGTCAAAAGTACGCCATAGAAAAATCACAGATCTTTCTCTCATGATAACTTTTTTTTTTGCATTAAGGTTGGTTAAATTGCCACAAGGGGCGCCAAAAGATATAAAATCCTTAAATTAGGGTAATCTTGTCACAACCGGTTTATCCAAATGCTTATTAGGCACGACGCCAAATATCATTAACTTTTTTTTTTTTTAACCTAGGAGAACGAGAAACAAAAATTGATGTCAAATCCTCGCATTTATCTACTTTTCTCATCGATAATTTTGAGAATTTATAACTGTTTTTCTTACTACAGTTAACTTGAGTCGTCATGAAGGAACTCTACAAGTAAGAAGTACCTAAGTTAAGGAATATTTTTTATTTTCATACTTGAAAATGCTCCTAAAAATTACATGAACTTTGAAATAATATAAATTACCAGTATTTTTTCTCTGGTGGTTAAGGCGCTCGACTCACAATCTGAGAGTCGTGGGTTCGAATCCCCGTCAACGAACATACTTGCTCTTTCACCTGTGTGGGCGTTATAATGTTATGGTCAATCCCACTTTTCGTTGGTAAAAGAGTAGCCCAAGAGTTAGTGGTGGGTGGTGTTGGTTAGCTGCCTTCCCCCTAGTCTTCCACTGCTAAATTAGAGACGGCTAGCACAGATAACCCTCGTGCAGTTCTGCGCAAAATTCACAACAAATCAAACCAATTTGTCTTATTTTTCCGGAAGATGGCGAAAGAAAGAGAGAGAGTGTGCTTAATTTTCCACAATACATTGCCGCTTTGATTGCCTTGAATAAGATCGTGCAATATCATGCTAAGATCATTGCTTTTTAACGTTCAAAACTTGAAAATCTTTTGTTAAGTGTAAATTACCCTTTTTTTCATTTATGTTTCAAATGAACCAAAACTTTTAACCCATACAAAATAGTTGTTTTATAAATTGTAACGCCTAAGTTTTTGTTTAGTTTCATAATGCTTAATTGCGTAGGATTCGTACATAGGAGTATCATTACTACAAAGTACTTCATCCTACCTTGACAAACATATATCTAAGAGGCATTTATAAACCTGCCGTTCCGGTTCTCCTTAGAACTTGATTGGTGATCTAGGTGTTCACGCGGTAAACCAGAAAAAGTAACCCTGATCTGAATATGGGGCATTACACCATCAAAATAACAATAAAAAAACTAGACCCGCTTGTATGCCACAAATACCAGAACTCGTTAAAAACTGAAAGAGAAAAAAACTACCAACAAAATAGGTAGATTCGTGATGCTGGGAACTGTTGACTGTCCCAGTTAATATTTCCGGGCACTGCCCGTTATGTCAGTGGTTCTTCTGGTTTGTTGACTCTCTCTCTCTGCTCATTCGAAGCTGACCTAGACTCTCTTGTCTAGCACTAGGCAAAATAAATAACACGCTTTTGGAACAGGTTAAGTATAACACACTTCCCACAAATTACGTAGATCTCTGTAGATTAACTTCTAACGAAACGGGTGCATATGGTGTAGAATCTATTGATAAGTATAAATAATTCGGGGAATTTATGTAGCAAATTGTAATACAGTATAGTGGTAATTCAGGCTAACTTTAATTAAAGAACTTCCAATGTTTAGAAGGGTCATTAGTTGGACTTTGTCGTGAAAGCAATAACTTGATGGTTTTATTATTCAGAGTCTTAGGATAAAACTTCCTGAATCTAAATTGCTATAATCTAGCCGACCACTTGTAAGTTGTTTCACTAAATAGACACCTCACAATTTTAAAAACCAAATCACAAAAAACCGAAGTATTAGACTATTTTCTATGTTTAAGTAAAATGTACAAATAGCAGCACAGTAGAAGGGACGACCCAAATCGATAGGTTTACAATAGATCTAATTTAAATTAAGTTTTGGGGCCAAATTATTGATTCGCTATAAAAGATAAAAGATAACAGATAAAAATTCTAAAACCAATCTGATAGTTGGAGCTAGAAAGTCGAAAAGATGAGATAAAGGGAATAACCCCAATCAATTGAATATTTTGTCGAAGAAATGTCCTACAAATCGTATATCATTGGATCAGTGTGAAAAGTCCTTATCAAAGTGCATCCATATGGTTAGCAATTTGTTGAAAAATGTCCTACAAATCGTATATCATTGGATCAGTGTGAAAAGTCCTTATCAAAGTGCATCCATATGTTTAGCAATTTGTTGAAAAAATTTCCTACAAATCGTATATCATTGGATCAGTGTGAAAAGTACTTATCAAAGTGCATCCATATGGTTAGCAATTTGTTGAAGAAATGTCCTAAAAATCGTATATCATTGGATCAGTGTGAAAAGTACTTATCAAAGTGCATCCATATGGTTAGCAATTTGTTGAAGAAATGTCCTACAAATCGTATATCATTGGATCAGTGTGAAAAATCCTTACCACAGTGCATCCATATGGTTAGCAAAATCAAATACAATGCTCAATTTTCCCTGGATTCTGAAAATACAAAATGCTTGGTCGCAAAAGGTTAATACCAAGAAATATAACGTCATGTAAGTTGGTTATTTTCATATTAATTTCACAATTCCGCTTTCGTTCCCCCCTACCCCTGATTTCCATAATATCCTGATATCCGCTGCATACAAAAATGCCAAAATTGCCAGCATGACTGTAAAATATTTTCGGGAGAAGACGCTCCCGAACTTCCTTAGCTTTCGGTAGGCTTACCTCTGACAAGTTTGATTCTTTACCAAACTTTAATACCGTTCCAGACGACTAAAAGTGGTAATACTAAGAATATTTATATAATCAAACTCTTTCTTACACACACACAGAACAAGCGGAGAAAACTTTTTCACAGGGCAAGTACTAATCAAATAAAGATCGTGCTGTATTTGAGCATTCGAGTTTGTAGATAAAAATATTATTAGTATGTGCGCTTATAATAATCTAAAGATTGCACTGTAAATAGCATGCTAAACCCAAGTCAGAGTTAGTAAACTAAAGTTTATTAAATGGTTAGTTTAGGAACATCTTTAGATCTTTAGAAAACTTATCTGACCAACTATTTTTAGTCTTAACTTAATATTTATTCAAAGAAATAAATTATTTGTGTTCTTTTAAGCGTAAAGCTACACAATTGACTATTTGCGCTTTGCTCACCTCAGGGATTGAGACTCGAATTTTAGTGTTATAATCCCTCAATATCATCGCTGAGCTACGAGAGCTTTTGTTTAGGTACATAGCTACCTCTAGTATCATATCTTCAATGTGATGAGATAGATTACTAGCTTTGGCCATATGTGACTTTATGTAAGAAATTCACTTCCAAAAACCATGTCTTAGATTTATATAGATCATGATAACGCACGGAATACAAGGAAAGTCAAAAACGTACCGTTACTTAGCAAAGTCACCAGAACCAGAAAACGTGCTGTTCTTGATACCATACTGGTCTTCGATCAGAAACTCATCTCAGAAAGTAACGAGACGGGTGAATAAGCAGCGAATGGACTTATATACTGGCCTACTCGCGAATAGAAGTCGAATATCTTTGTAGAACAAGCAATAATCCACCTTTCCTTCACCGCGATTGGCCATTGTGAAAAATATATAACGGCGTTATAGGAACAGTAGCCAATCACAGGTGTTAAGCATTTGCACGAAATTTAGTATGCAAGTCGACATTTTTTTTATGAGTTAGTATGATGACTATGAAATTCTTACTTTTTTTTGAAGTTTATACGGGAGAAAGTAACTGTTCTACTAATCCTCAGTTTTTTCTTGTAATCTTAGACTTCTGCACATCCAAAGATTGTGCAGGTCACGTAGTGGAATTAGGCTACATGTTTTCAAAATGATAAGGTCTCTCTATTGCGTCAGATATTAAGGGATTTTGTAGCAATACTGAATGTAAACATGTAATGATCATACTGTTAGCACTAGGTCTCGTATATTTTTCTACTAAGATGTGGAGCCTGTAGGAACTACGAGTTAGAAATTTCTTTTAGTGTTTGTTTTTTATGAATTTATCTGCCTTCAAATGGACCACCACATCGTGTAATCCAGTTCACGAAACAAGTTTGTCCATTTTAACAACTTACTTTCAACTTTCATTGTACACTACCTGTTATATCTTTCACTGTCATCGAGCGCAGGGCTTCTGAACCCATGAGTTGCGACCCAAAATTTAGTCGTCAAAATGTGTGAATGGATCGCGAGCAGACTTTGAAAGTAGATAATGGTTTATGTATTTTTTGAATGGCTTATTTATTTAATAAGTATTTAGTAAGTCAGATGTTTTTCGCGATAAAGTTATTTTACTAGGTCGAGATTGACCATCGGTTTTTACAAATGAGAAGCCAAAAAGGGTTTAGAACCAATAACCAAATGGAATGACTAATCACCAGTTCACCAAACAGACTGTTTATTTTAACAGTCTTCAGTTGTATACTAAATGCTATGCCATTTCTTTCAAATAATGTTGACTATTATCAGGTGGATTTAGTTGTTGACTAATCACCAGTTCACTAGACAGATTGTTCATTTTAACAGTCTTCAGTTGTATACTAAATGCTATGCCATTTCTTTCAAATAATGTTGACTTTCATCAGGTGGATCTAATTATTGACTAATCACCAGTTCACTAGACAGATTGTTCATTTTAACAGTCTTCAGTTGTATACTAAATGCCACGCCAGTTCTTTCAAATAATGTTGACTTTCATCAGGTGGATCTAATTATTGACTAATCACCAGTTCACTAGACAGATTGTTCATTTTAACAGTCTTCAGTTGTATACTTAATGCCATGCCATTTCTTTCAAATAATGTTGACTTTCATCAGGTGGATCTAATTGTTGACTAATCACCAGTTCACCAAACAGATTGTCTATTTTAACAGTCTTCAGTTGTATACTAACTGCTATGTCGTTCAAACTAAGTCCACTGGGCAACATTTCGCTATTTATCATTGTACATGTTTGAGAATGAAGATATAACGTTTATAAACTGAGGTCTTGGAATTCTTAATGTTTCTTTTTATTATCTTAAACTTTAAGTTTAGCTACTTTGAAATATGTTTCAGGGAAGAAACCAAACGTTGTTATCGAAAACTCTGGAACACACTAGACCGAGAAGTCATGTACAACCTTAGAGTTATTGGACATTTCAAAAACTTGTCAGTTTACACGTAACTTCCAGGAATACAGAGTGAAAATCACTGTGAAAGAATACGACGTATTTACACGTAACTTCCAGGAATACAGAGTGAAAATCAAATGTATTTATTTGTAATCTGGAAGGAAGTAATTAACATTAACAAAAAACATGGTTTTTCTTGGATTACGTGAAGATTTCTAAATATATGTTTAAAAACTAGAAATTATTCCCGCCACTTTTTATAGTACACAGAAGGGCAATGTATAAGCAAAGATCGTAAGGCAAAATGTGCCTTTTTACAATGGTTTAAAGTTCTAAAATTCTATTTAAACCTTCAGTCGGCATATAAAGGACTTGACTGTAGAGGGTGAGAACATTGGAGACTCATTATTTATTTCTCATTTACTTATTATAATAGGACTTTCCTATTAGAATTTATTTGTGAATAAATTTTGCTTAATGCATAAACTTGAAATTTAATATATGGTTAATAATGAGCGTTCGAACCGCATAAACTCGGTAGTAGACCTGGATGAGGTCCGTGGACTGCCAGTTGTAAAAACTGGTTTAAAAGATTAACTTTTCTTCAAAACTATTGTCCAGTAACGAGAAATTATTTTTATAAAAGATTAGATGAACTATGCTTGTTTTAAGTCACACAATGTTAAAATGTGTCCCGAATTTACGTTGTTTACTAGTCATGCATTGGTCGAATTTTTTTACTGAAATATAAATAACCACAAATACATTGATTTTCAAAAACTAAGACAATTAGTGATCTGAAGGACGCAAATCAAAGCTTAAAATAAGTTTTATTATAAAGATGAGTTAATGGTCGTACAAAGAGATGGTTTGAGAATTTGTTTAATAATAGTGCATTACGTGGTTGTAAACTGACAAACAATTCAGGTCTGAAGAACACAGGCCACAGGCCAATGTTCTGTCGAAACATATAGTATGTTCCCCAAATTAAAACCATTTCATTATGTGTCGAAGTCGTTGTTTGTCAATTTACTATTATATTATCATAATATGGTTCCATACACAAGTACATTATATAGCTGTTACGACAAAACTACGAAGTTAAAATTCTGTTATAATTTTGTTAAACTTTATACACAGTTACGTTTCAAAGTTTGGTAAAATATAGCTACAAAATAAACCAACATTACTAAGTACAAATAAATATATTTCGAATCAAACCCAAATCACATAAACAAAACAAAAAACATAGTCAGCATGTTTCGATTGACTCATTCAGTCAGTCATTAGTATATCTTGAAGAAAAAAAAATACACTGACGTGTTTTATCTTACAAAACTGCACACTTTTGCAATATGCAATCCCACTAGACCAAATTTTTTAACACTTAACATAATCCAAGCTTTTCTTAATTTACAGTCCTCCGGTGGATCAGCGGTAAGTTTACTAATTTAAAACGCCAAAAATTCGGGTTTTCGATTCTACACTGTGGACACATAAGATAGCATAATGTGGCTATGTGCTAAAGCAAACAAACATAACGTTACCTTTGCATAATCCTTACATCTTTATTATCCACGTCTTAGCCAAAGCAGTATCCGATTTTCAAGACACAACGTTGTCTTTTCCCAATCCTCACATCCTTACTTTTCACGTCTTGGTCAAAACAATATCGATTTTTGAGTTTGTTTGTTCGGAATTTCGCGCAAAGCTACACGAGGGCTATTTGCGTTAGTCGTCCCTAATTTAACAATGATAGACTAGAGGGAAGGAAGCTAGTCAACACCACCCACCGCAAACTCTTGGGCTACTCTTTTTACCAACGAATAGAGGGTTTAACTGTCAAATTATAAAGCCCCCACGGCTGAAAAGTGACGGGGATTTGACCAGCAATTCTCAGATTGCGAGTCTAGCACCTTAAGCGTCAGGCCATGTCAAGCCCGATTTTTTAAGACTCAGCGTTGTCTTTTCACAATCCTTACGCCCTTACTTTTCATGTATTTCGCTTGATGTGTGTTCTCGGACTTTTAATGTGCACTTTGGTTACACTACATCCGTCACTGGACTAAACAAAAAAAAAATTAAACAAAGAATGAGGTAGAGTAAAGACGACTGTAGTAACACGTAAAAGATTCTGGGACCCCTAGACCTCCATTAATACAAAATCAGAATAACCCTTTTCAAAAGTGGCCGAAGTTAATGTTAGTTAGCTAATATTCCGAATACACGAAACACGCAATTTGCTCATTCCTGTTGTTTTTTGTTTAAACAGTGATTTACTGAAAGATTAAAATATCATTCATCTGCTTATTTACCCTCTTTAAGTACTGTGAATCACGAACTGTAAATTTCAACTGAAATAAATTAATATTTTAAAATCACATTTGCATTAAAGCAATTGAGTGGATAAAATATGTGTTACATCTCAAATTATGTAATACACTTTATATTATTTATTTATTTATTATTATTATTATCATTGCTGAAAAGTGTGAATAATATGAGAT